GGAGCGGACGTTGTTCCACCAGGATTGCGGTACTCGTTTTTGCATTTGCAACGTGGCGCGATGCGTTCTGATACACGAATTTCGCGTGTAAATAAGCTGTTTTTCGGTCTGCATTGTTATCTCGAATGTCCCTTCCTCGAAAGCGCGAAATTACAAACGCATACACAATTATTTTGCAAAACTGTAACATAATACAAATGTGATGCGCAGTATTATTTTCATATTTGATGTTCACGGACTACGCGTGCATGTATGCGAAAATGGGTTAACCCGTAAAATAGTAGTTTTGCATAAATTAACTTTAAAATGCAAAGTCAGAGTTGCTGACCCAATTGTAACCTGTTTTTTTTTTTCTTTCTTTAATTTAGCGAGTTAACTCATTTTTGCATAACATCTCTCATTTATCGTGCTCTTATTAAGTTACAAAATTAAGGATCTTCTGCTGTAGGAAATGTTGTGTGAAACTTTTCGCGTAAGCCGGACGACGAGACAATTTATGCAGCTCGTCTCAATTCGCGCAACTCGGACGAATCAGTCGCAATTTGCATGAAACAACCTCTTCTCGCTACCGGATTCGCTTTTTCTACTGCCAATTCTGATAACGTTGATTCTCACGATGGCCGACAAGCCAGTTCCCTGATTTGCCGATTATCCTTCTCTCGACTCCGAATTTTGGTCGATAAAACAAGCTGTGCATGCGAAAAATGCCATCTTGTTTGGTCGATGGCACTCTCGAAATAGGTCATTTGTTTGATATATATATATATATATAACGTTTACATGAATCGATCTAAAGTAGACACGTAGATAGAGAGAACTGCCCGTTGGGATAACTCTGATTTCAAAGTTTGCACTGGCTTAGCTCCCTGTAACGTGAGATGTAATATTAAACAAGCGATCCCTGCGAGAACTCTGTTACAAGACTACAACGATTGTCGATTCTACAATGCATAATAGAGTCCTGAAAATTTAGGAGCCACTGATTACGTAACACATCTTTATTTTAAAAGCGTTCTCTTATTTCTTTTTTTATTACGAAGCGCTGAGTTACTTTTTAAGGCACTGATATCTCATTGCATTTAACGATATTTTAATACAGAAAAACTTTAATATAGAAAGATTAATTAAAATTTAAGATTTCAGAAAAATTCTACGTATATGATTTGTGATAAATGATTTTATTTTTGTCGCGTAAATTTCTTCTGCGCAAAATGCGCAAAATTATAATCTAGATTCAGATTAATTCCAAATTTTATTACTCCGTGCTCTTTTAAACAAAGTTGAAATTGAATAATAATTCAGAGAGTTAAACTGAAATTAATTAACGTCGAATTAGCGCTGCAAAGCCGCGAATTCGACGAGGAGGGATGAATTGGCAGTTCGCATAATCATTCGAACAACCATTTGTTCCGAATATCCAATTAAGTAACGCGCCGTGTGCCATTCGGGAGGAGAATCGCGAGGGCGTTTCGTCATACATTCTCCACGCCCGAGGAAGCTGATCGAATTAGCGTGGCGTCATTAAAATTTTTTTTCACCACGTTCGTACATGCGATCGCCGTAAGGCCCCGGCTAACCGTGGCGACACGCTCCGCTGACGTCGAAGGGGAAGCATGCTCTGAATGGTCCCTTGTGTGTATCATCGCGCGCGGAAAGCCACGCTCTCTGTTCGCGGACACAAAAAAGGAGGCAGACGACAAAGAACTGTTAGACTGTCGTTGACGGAGCGGGAACGAGCTACCCGTTAAAATGGAATTTAGGACTTTGTCTCAAAAGGGTGTGCGAGTAACAGCGGTGTTTTTTAAAACAAAGAGACGAGAAGAAAAGACGGACGTGAAAAATATAAAACTGAATCTTTTTACAATGTCTGCAACACTGATGATACTAATAAATTTTTGCTTGAGAGAGACAGAGAAAGGAATTTAAAAAATTATTTAGTCGCGTTATATAATTATTCTACGAGCGCGTGCAATTTGAATGTAATTTACTCAAGCGTGGAGGAGAAAGAAAACTTCCCAGATCTGTGCAGGGACGTGACTTAAATTTGATTCGATTTAACGTGACTCGAGTTTAATTTTAACACGTCACGCGTTCGAACTTCCGGCAGCCATCGCGACGGACGAATAAGTATCTTTGACTATAGCGAAGAGAACCAAAACTCGTGCCAGCCGACAAGTCCAGCTCATCGCGACGCACCGTCCGTCGGGCGTGAATTATAAAAATCAATTAGCGGAATAAGCAGTGGTCGCGTTAGTCAAATTTATATCTCACCGGACGCGGATTCGGGAGATTAATGCTTCTTTAATCCCCCCCCTCCCCCCGGTCGGCGATCCTTTATCTTCCCCATAATCAGGACGAGGAGCGAAAGAGTCGTGCGAAGCTGTGGTTTTCCGGCCAATCCGAAGACGTATTTGCCGCGCTGGCGAGGAAGAATTGGGTCAATGCTGGGGATCACGTTTTCCAGCGTGTGCACTGCCTTATCCGTATCCTCCTGTCGCTTTCGTTGATTAAGCTACGCTCGCGGAATAGCGAGCAGTCGAAGGAGAAACGTGATATAGAACCGACGACGACTTTTCTCGGTTTCTTGCGCAAACTTAGTTTCAGCTCGTTCGCCGCGAGATCTCTCTAAAGGAATCCTTTCCCTTCCCTTTCTCGCCTCTTCACGTGGAACATGCCGTTCCACGTGTCCTTTCATCGATTGTTCCCTCAGCAACGTATGCTTCTTCTCGGAAGAAATTATTTTTCCCCTCTCCGCCCGCGCCGCCGCTTCTCATCGCTAGATTTCTCTTGTTAATGTCGCCGGTCGTGATCGGACTTCCGAAACCCCGTTGTGACAGCGCTGCTCCCACGGTTTTATTAGAGTTTTATTTGCCCCGTGTGTTCGTATAATTGAATCTCGGTGAAAAAAAAAATTGGCTTTGCGCTACGGAACTTAAAAGATGATTGGATTCAGCTGTAAATGGAATTGCGGCAAACTTTGCGAAATCGAATTTTTAAAGGATATATTTTAGAATCATAAGAGTCAATACGATAATTCTTATTGCTCTCGAAAATTACGAAAGTTATAAATTATAGATACTTAGATGTTAATTAGACGAGCGTATTGTATTATTTTTCTAGCGTCGCTGTTTTTGGAATTTTTGTACAAACGTAGGATGTTAATTTATTAACTGACAGCTGAGGCAGCTGTCATAATCACGCATGAAGAATCATTTAATTCGCAGCACTTTGTTACCGTGTCAGATCTTTCGTAATTGCTAAGTTCAAGATCTTCATTTCTCAAACTTAAACAAAGAGCAACGCGGAGCTCTTCCTCGTGAAACTTCATCACCGTTCACCAGCGTGTGCGCGATCCGGTTCGTATCGGGGCGAAATCCGGTCTAAATCGAGTTTTCAGAAAAATGTTCAAGGTAGGAATAACAAATGGCCCCTTTGCTCTCCCGTGGCGGAACGACGTCGAGGGGGCGTTCAGAAATAATCTGGAAAGAAGGGAGAACTGGACAAACCATCTGTAACCTGCCACGCGCGAGATTGTGGATGGCACGACCCGGGGGCGAAACCATAAATTATAGTTACCCTGCGCTGTCCATGGTAAATCGTTCGCCGTCCCGATCCTCCCACCTCTTCCTCTTCTATAAAATTGACCTTTATTTTGAACTCTTTAGCTTTGCCACGAGACTGAAAGATTTCATTGAATATCAATGATTTTTTCCACGCGCTTTGCTGGCAAAAAAATATTCACTCACAATTTATCCGAGTGAGATCGTTAAACATATTTCTGCGTAATACAAAATTTAATATTTTTCTATTATCATCCGAGAAAAATGATTGTGAGAAATGCAGAGTGTAAATTTATGAGGAATTTATATTTTAGAATTCTATTAATGAAATCTTATTGATTTTATTTCTTAAATTTCTCATTATAAGAGTTTTTATAAATTTCTTTATTTTTTAGAAAAATTATATGTCAATAAGCAACGACTGTGTTACGTCTAATTTACACTTTTATCATTTTACGTCGAGTTGCAGTTATCAATTTTATCATTGAGATACCTAGATCTTTTTTATCTAGCTTTCTTGATTGATATTCAAGAAGCGTGTATTTTTTGCTCACCGGTGTTATAAAAGAGAACCGACTCATGAGTCTTCGGTTTTGAAAGAGACGGCTCAACTTCTTTACCTTTTTCCGCGGATAAAAGTGTCATCTTTAGCGAGAGTTCCTAGTCTAGAATCGCGCTGATGTATTATCCAACCAATCGTAGTCCACCGCGACATTTCGATGGAACATTGCCAGAAATCTTTTCGCCGGCACACGGTTGCCCGCGGTCACGGTGAATAGTGCACCACCGCACGAAAAATTGGCAACGCCATTTTCGCGTCCATTATCCTTCATCTTTAACGATCCCGGAGAGACCGGAAAAGCGGAACCGAATATCGGAGCGATAAAAATGTTTATCTACCCCGGCTTGCGAATGAAAGTCAGGAGAGTGATCGAATGTTAATGGAAGTTAGTTGATAAAGTGCATTTGGTAATTCTCTCGTCATCTGTTCATCCTCATTCGGATTTATTTGGAATTATAGAGAGCACGCTAATCTAGTTGAAAATTATCAGTTCGAGAGAAAACTAATCTGTTTATGCTTACTAATTTTATCAATATGATTGCTGCAATCCAAAATAAATTACATAATCTAACAAATTTATATTTAAGAGCGAACATAACATCTTTTAGGTCACGAAATCTTACAAAATTCATTACTATCAAGTTCTCAGTTCGCATTTTACATCGTCATTAATTTGTATAATTAATCTGATATTTATTAGCAAAAATAATAAACGCAATAACCAAGTCACGCTACGTGCATATAATTGCAAGTTTACGAAGGAGAGCTTTTATATTCAGACTTTCCGTCGAGTTATTCATGTTTTGCGGATATTTGTACGATTTTTGCAAGGTCGCGAGAGCATTGAAATTCACGAGAAATTATACTTCTTTTTGCAGCACATGGTGCAGACAGGGATGGCTGCGCCCTATGGTGGGGGTGTCTTCCCACCTCCGGTGAACGGGGTTGCGGGCGTCGTAGGGGCGGCCGGTGCAGCCGGTGACGTTAAACCGCCACCGCCAGTGCCAGTGAAGGAGGACAACGCTGGTGCGCCTCAACAGCCACCCCCGACTGGCGGGCCCCAGGTGCCGCCTGCGGCAGGCGCGCCTCATCCCTCCGCCCCAGGTGCGCCGACCGCGGCCAGCTTCAGTCCGCCTCCGCCTCCGAACGGGGTTGATCAACAGGCCATTGTAAGTCCTAATTTTTTAATTAGTACGACAGTGCTGATCAATCAATCGATGCTGCCCGAAAACTTTCACATTTAGTCGTCAATGTACTCGAAAGATAAAGAGAAGAAAAAAGGACGAAATTTTCTTCGTCTTTTATTTATGTTAAATTAGCAGTTTGCACGTTTACGACTGCGGGGCATTTAATGCATTAATGCATAGTTACTCAACTCAGAAGTAAAAAAAGATAAAATAATGTCAGGTAAAGTCTATTGTATAAAGAAATTAGTTTTATTTTTTATTTGATTGTTATAGAATAAACAATACAATTTTTTTACAGCATTTAAGAAATCCAACATCAGATCTTTCGAGAAATTTTTGTCAAGTATTTTTACATTGTACGATGCATCCTTGAATTGCTGAAAGCAAGACGAAGAGTCCTCGTAGGACCATTATCTTCCACTCTTCATGAACACGTAATGCGATACGTCTCGCGACGTCAAGAGGTCACGGCGACACGTTATTGGTCGCTTGAGGCCGACGCGGCGTACTGAAAACCGCAAGCGTAGGAATCCTTTAGACTGGTTAATCCTTTTTTGAGACTCTCTCTTCGTCCGTGACAGTGCAAAATTGCACGGTGAGTTTCTGCGCGAAGTAGCCCCTTCGCGAGAGCACGTGTGTGCTCTCGAGATTCTGGTGTACATTCCGACACCAGAGAACCTCTCGAACTGCTGCATTTCTCTCTTTCTCTCTCTCTCTCTCTTTCTCTCCCTCTTTCTTCGCGCTGTTTTGCAGCGCCGAGGAGAAGGTGCGGTCGTCGTCCCGTCACGTAGTTTGCGGTCGCGGTCAATGATTCCGGACACGTATGAATGGAGTGGAGACGCGTCGCCGCATCGGCGACGAGTGAATTCCACGAAGGGGGCCCCCTTGTAATTCATAACAGAATGTACGATGGACGGGAAGGGTTATTTACTCGTTGAATAAAAGAATTCTATTCCCGCGACGCATTCAAAGTTGACAAAGCTGCGTATGTGGCATTGACATTCTTTCGCGAAATCGGAAATTCCACTCGTGGCGGAATAACATCGCGAAAGTAATCAACGTTTACTCTTATCAAATTTTTATATATTTCATATATCGCACATATTTAGGTATCGATTTAAAAATAATAGGAATGCACATTTAAGTAATTTTTAAAGTAATTTTGAAGACAATACGGATATAAAACTTATCGCGTAACTGGATGAATTAATTGCATCTATTTGAACCCGTAATGGACTTTCACACGCGCGCATTAATTCCAGAAACGGCAATTTTAGCTCGCGTAAGACCATTCATTACGTAATCGATATAATGAAGTCCGTTAAATTCGAATGATTTTCAAATAGGGATTAATTCCAGAAACAGTATTTTCATCTCAATCAGCTTCGCTCATTGCGTTGCATTGCGCTTGAAATTCAAACCCTTATTACCGAACGTAATCGATGTCGCGCGGTTTAATCGAAGAAACCGCAAATGTCATGCTGAACCTCGATCAGAAATGGATTTATTTTCTGTAAGAAATAACGATCCTCCTTTCGCCGGCCTATTCAGTCCGTTGTATTATTGGTCGGATACCTGTCGCGTGTATCGGATTACTTCTCCAATCCGATTATCAGCTAAATTATTAATTACGCTTTGCTACATCAATCTACGTTCAATTTGCGACCGCTACGTGACTCGCATTCGAAACGGAGAAGCTTCTCAAAAATATTCGTAGATTTGTATTCCTTGGTCGTTCCTTAAAGTCACGAGGTATTTTTATCCGCTCTACTTGATCGTGACCTCTAAACCTAAGCTATCGTGCATAAAAGCGCTAACTTCTCGCACAAAGCTATCTGTTATCCTTGAAGAGTGAACACGGGTATTTTTTTAATCTTGCTATTATTCGTATGTGTTTTTCAGGCTAAAAAAGTTGCAATAAAGGAGTTTATTCGAAAACAAGTCGTACAGAAAAGTATGAATTATGTTAATTACACAATTTTATTTTTCATTTAATTTAATCGTTTCCAATTTTTTCTGAAGAAATAATTTTCTATGCCATGTAAAGTTTCAACTTTTTCCCGCTATTTTGTTCAAATCTGGCCATTATTCATCCCTTTGTTTTTAGAATGAACTCATTTGGTGCCGATTGGTCCGTCGCGACAACAAGTGCTAAACGATTTATCGGTAATTGCGTTTTAATAGTCGGATGTTAGCCGGGATGCGACACTCTTTGTTTCAAAATACGACCGACGGTCCGCAGGGAAAACGGTGATGTCGCTCGCGTTATACGTATAGATGTGCGATTACGAGATATAATCCAACGCCATTAATTCACTTGAAATTCATACGGCGCGTCGGCGTGGATGCGTGGAAACTCGAAGCAGCAATGCGTTCTCGTCGTTTGGGCGGAGGGAGGGGAGGGGCAGGAGGGTGCTTCCCGATTCATTACCATCGGAGACGTCGCAACCAGGTTCGCCTATTCCCCTCTGATTTACGGCCGCCGGTATGAACGCGCGGGCTCCGCGGGGATAACGATGATCGCGTTGATGCTAAATAAATATCGGGAAAGGTCGGGGACGCGGTACGCGACGACGATAATTGATTTCGTGCTCGACCGCGGCTCGAAATGCAAAAGCGCCTTCATATCGCGCGACATTGTATGCATAACGAATGCGGGCGAAAGTAACGTTTGTAAATTCCACGCAATTCATCAACGACAATGACGGTGGTTAGAACACGCTATTCTCGTGACTTCTCGCATATGTATTTTGCTGCAGAGCTACAGAGCGGTTTTCATTTATTTCCCGTAAATTCGGGAAACGTGATATCTCTGTGCGAGAGTCGCGCGCGCCGAGAGAAAGAGAGAAAGCGACATAGAATTAAATTATCAACAGAGCGAGGGTTGTGGATTAGAATTTGGTGGTTTAACGGCTAAATAATCTTCATATTCTCGAGTTACCATACAATTATTCGTGACATTATGCGCCGCTTCGTATTCACAATAATGCTCTGCGGTATCTACAATAATCGACATATCCGAATGTGCCGCAAATTGGAGAGAAATTACTCTCTCGTTTCGCGCGAGCTCACTCAGCAAGAATTTTCGGATATTTTCCATTGTTTTTACGTATCAGCCTAAAATCGGCAAATACCACACCCGAAAAATCAAACTTCTCGTCGGAGCAAGGAATTTTCTGTTCAAGTGTTAAAAAATTCGTTTGACGTGGATTGGGTTATCGGGAATTTTTTTTATTTTATTCTAAAAATACAGCATCGATTTTATCACAGCGAAGAGATACAAATTTTCGGCGTCATCGCTTGGACGAGAACTGTCTTTCTCTCTCTGGGTTTAGGGATTCTCGTGTCCGATTAAACGTCGAGCAAGACCGACGATAATCCCGCACACAATTAGATGGCGGGCGAACGGTTCGTGAACAATGTCGCGATCGTTCCGGCCGTGGCTGCTTTGTCCGGCGGTGCATACGTCTGGTCAATTAACTGCCGGACCCGGTTAGTCATCGAGTCGAGAAGCGTACGTCGGCTGCATCGTAGCTCGTTCGGTCGCAGCTTCATGCACGCGAGATCACCTGGGACGCGCTAACCTGCCGTGCATTTCCTCCTCTTCCTCCGTCGTCTCCTCTACGTCTGCTTTTCCCTGTGATTCCATTCCGGACGGATGGCAGCGCAATTGTGTTGCTCGCGCCGATGTGACAACACGTACGTTACATTGTGCGGAATTACGGAACGTTATGCCCGACATTCGCATACATACGGACAATTTGCTGTACGTGCATTTTTAGCTTGAATAAATTATGATTCAGAAAAGAAGATGAATGAAATCGCGATGGTTTTCAAATATTTTTCATAAACTAAGAAAAACAATTTTATTATTTTCTATTAATTTTATCAATAAGTTAGGTACATTAAAGGATTAAATAAACTTTTTTTAAACTTCAAGTTAATTAATTTAATATCTAGAAAATTTGTATTTAATGGAGTAATATGTTAGTTGAAATTAGCTTGAAATTTATAGCATTATATGCTGTATATGCATTATATGCTATTGCAGACTACAATAATAATAATTCTATTAATGGTATTTTGCGATTCATATGCAGTAATTTTTAACTATATTATTGCAAAACAGTGCGCGAAAATAATGCATGGCTATTCATGAATTTCCTACTTTGTTAGTGCAGTTTTTCTCAATTCTCTTTATAATATTGCAACGTGGCGTAATCCTGGATTCACCGACAATGGAGTTTTGCACATTATAACGCACGTGGTATCCGTATATTCCGTATATACCGCGTATGCGAATGCGTGTATTCCTAGTTATCTTGCTGCATACAGGCGCGTAATGGCGCAACCGAGTTTCCCAGCATTACGTGAAATGCCGTTGTCCTCTTTCAAGTTAATTCGCTCGAGACGACCCTCGTTTTAACAATCTGCCGTCTGAATAGCGCCGTGCAAAATTTTCGAGACTGCCGTACGCCAAAGTGTACTGTGACGAAAATAATCCGATTTAGTGATATTTTGCGTCGCTCTCTATTTCGGACTCATAACGAAATCATTTTGTTGAATTCAGGAGAAATTTCTGTCGGCAATTATTTGAAAACACTCTTTTGAAAATTTCACAAATGCTTTACAATATAAATCAAACAGATTCTCCTATTAAATATTTTTAACATTTTGCGTGACTATTGCATTTGATTTTTATTTTTACTGTTAAATAAATATAATATTCTTAAAATTATATCAAAATAGACAATTTTGTGAAGAAAATATTTTTAGTAATGCGAGGCGCGCAATTCCGCGGCCATTATCATGATTGCCTCTGCCGGCTTGGTGGTTGTAACACTACTTCCTTTCATACTTAATATTAAAGAAGCAACGACTTCAAGTTTGCCGTGGAATCAGCGGATGTGAAGGAGCAAATGCCGGAAACCCGAGACATTCTTGAATATATTTTGAAATATGCAGAATATATTTTGAAAAGA